AAATAGAGGGGCTGTTTGCATTGTTTGCATGTGGCCCTGAGTCCATACAGCCACCCTGTGACCCTCAGATGGGTGGTTCCTATGGGACCCCAAAGAGCTGGCCTTTAGGAACTCATTTGGGCCAAGAGAAACCATGAGCTGAAAGGCTCAGGATCTGGTACAACTTGGATTTCTACAGCAAATTTGGAAAGAGCTGCCAGTTAGCAAACAGACTTCCATTCATTTTTTTCTGATGACCAGAGTGACATAGGGAAAGAAAAGCAGTTTAGCTTTTCCTAAACAATATTCCTTCTTGCAGGACTCTCTGCCTCGTGCTGTTCTTACGGAAAGTAATAGCATAATTACCATTAAATTAAAAGGGATCGAGAGGAGGCTTTCATCCCCTTCAGGAATGCAGAGCAAAGTGAAGCTTCTGATGCAAGCACTTAACCTCCCAATTTCAATTGCCACTTTGGAGTGCTGGAGCAGGTCCTCCCTGTTTAAGGAAGAGAGCAGCTCTCCATTTGTAGATGAACAAAGAGGGATGGCTGCTTTCTTGCCTGTTTGTTTTAATTACTTTTAAGTGCCTATTCTGATCTCTTTCTTCAATTTTACAATATTAAAGTCTATAGTATGAAGCTCAATACTTCCTGAGAGAAAGAGCTTTAATTCTAACTCACAATAATAAGAGTAGTAAGAACAATAGATTTTAATAAAGTCAAGGGTTTGGCTTATCTGTTATTTCCATCTGCCTTGCAGCCAGAGCATCCCTTTTTTGCAAACCACCACGCTGAGAAGTTTGGCTTTGCTGCATTTACCTTTGAGTTCACAAATGATTGACATGTTTTCCTTCAAAGCAGTAGTTTGCCAGTTTAGTGAGTAGGACCATCATAGTTTCAGTTGTAATTTCCCCTTCCATGGGTCTTTAACTTAGCTTCCTTCATTTTCTGTGCATGGATCACTTTAGAGGAGGAGTTAAAGCTGTTCTGATTTTCCAGGTGCAATTGTAACAGTTCTGACTTAGTATCTGTTACCATACGGCTTCAGTGTCCACAGCAGAATCACAAATACTTGCCAAGGAGAATAAACTGTTAAGAAATAAAAGCATCTACATCCTTGTCACTGGCCTTGTGGCCTGTATTGAAAGCAATATTGTGTCTTTATTGTAACTACAGTTAAACTTTTATGGTTGAGTAAAAGGTTATCCCAGTATCTATAATTGTGTGCTGACTGACATACAAAATCTGAGCCAGATTTTCCAGAGATGACATGTTCCTCTCTTTATATTTATTATATAAAAATAGGACTTCATATTGCTATTCAAAAAGATTTAATCTGTCTGATTTAATCTGGTGCTTTTCCTCTCTGGGCTGGACAGACTACATAGGTTCAAGCCCCAAGCACTGCAGCAATACAGCAGAATATGGGCTGATGCTGCCTGCAGCCTGTACAGTGAAGTTTCTGCTCCTTATACAGTCAAAACTGTTTGTGGCCTCATGTTGCCTTGTTTTAAGGCTCATCCAAAGGGTGCTGTATCTCTAAATACAAGAAGTCAGGATACAGTTTGATTTCCATGTGAAAATTTTGGAAGTAGAAAAGAAATTAATTGTGGAAAAGAAACTGTGTCAGTCAAAAAATATCAGAGAGGAGAACTGTGTGAGATTTTAAAGTACAGCCTCCTTCATTGTATTCTAAATTTTAATTTATCTGCAAAATTACACTAGAGAGAAACAAACCTTGTATTTATAACCAAAGCCAGTGGCAAGCATAGTGCAAAAAAAAAAAAAAAAAAGAAAAGAAAAAAAAAAGAAAAAAAACCCCAAAACCCCAAAAAACCCCCAAAACAGAAATACAACCAAACAACCAACCAAGCAAAATAAAACCCCACAACACTGCCTTGCAAAGTCATAGTTGTGCTGATAAGAGAGATTGAGAAAACTTTGGTTTACCAGGAGATTAAAGACAGTTCTATCTCCTAAAACATAACTCATGCCAATGCTTGCAACTCTTTGAGGAACTTCTTTGTTGTGAGGGAAGACATTGGATTGAAGTCCCCAACAGAGACAGAGTGACTTTTACAGCTGGGAGAACTCCCATGCCCACAGATGGGATTTGGAAATATTCAGTTTCAATAGGATAAGTGTTTCAGGGATTGGGTTGTTTAAAATTATGTGAAGTTCACTTTCCAAATTTGGTTGCAATAAATGCTTTGAAATCAAATATTGTTTATTATTTGTCTTTAGAAACCAACAAAATTTACTACCAACAAAACTTGATAAAGATTAGAAGGAAGTTTAAGAGATGAGCAATGACATTATAATTGCAGGCTACTTTATACATGAAAGCCATTGCTTAGTTCTTAAATGTAAACAGCAGATTATAAACCAGATCCCATTAATTTGTTGATGACAGTTGTGTTTCTTTATTGTGGATTTGTGTTTCAAAATTTTAATTTAAAACCTAATTACTAATCTAATATTAGCATTCTGAAGATGACATGAAAAAGTTAATTGAACTTAGATCTAGTTGAGGTGAATTCAACACCTGAGTCTGCAGACAATCCTTAAGAAATAACTCTGGTCCTGTTCATTCCATAGGGCTGTGTTAGCTTTGACTGGTAAAGACTCTACTTCTGTTATGAGTACCTTAGCCAAAATACCTCAATAATAAGCTGATAATGCACAAGTGTACTCCTTTTCTTAGGTTCAAAAGCCACTGCTACTCTCTAATCAGTTTCTGAAACCTTGACATTTTCTTCTGCATCTCCTATCTTCACTGGGTAAACTTTCACTTTACCTCTTGAAAGTGGCTATAAATGTGAAGCATAGTGATAAGTGTGTACACAGAAAAGAAAAGCAGGTCTCATTCCCAATCCAATCAAGCATACAGTGCTATGTTTTTCTTTTTAAAAATATACATCATTTATCAAAACTTCACCAGTGTGTTGGCTGTAAACTGGCCAGAGTATTTGGCTGTGTCCTGAGGAGGAGTAGATAGAGCCTGGATCCTAAATTGTTTTGAAATAAGTCCTGCTGGGTTTGGTCTGCAGAGCTCATTTGCTTCATTGAAGTCAGATGTTTGTGCTTAATTAATGTATTTGGAACTTGTGAGGATGTTATTGCTGCAAGGGTAACCTCAATGACTGTGCTTACACTACTCCTTTACAGACAGTGTATGGTGTGAGCACGATCCAGCTCACTGGGGAGTAACCCTGAGTTTATCCATCCACACAAATATCCTGATCCTGCCCCTGTCCCAGAGAGACTGTGGGACTGGATGCTCCTGCAGCAGAAACCTGAACATATTGAAGATGTACAGTTTCTTAGTGGGCTTGTGAGAAAACTCCTCTGTCCTTTCAGAGCATCCTGGGAGAACGGTGTAGGGTCCTGAGTGGGCTGTGCTGGTGGAGCAAAGCCTCACTGGTGAGCCCAGAGCTGTAATTTTGGAAATAACAGGCCTTGTGTGTACCCAAAATCTGTGCTGGCTCAACTAATTGAAATTAAATCATGGCTGTTTAAATACTGGAGTATTTATACATGGATGGGATTTTGGTAAGAATAATACTGTAATTCTAACATAACTGACAAGGCTAAAGAACCCATCAACCCATCTTCCTTTGGTCAGGACTGTGCTCAGGGATAAGATCTACCCTGCATTTGTTATCAAAGCTCCAATGAAGCAAGATTAATGTGTCAGTCTGGTTATGCCATGGGAAGGGGGAATGCTTGAGAGGAGAGTATGGGCACGTGTTCTTGCAGGGACTGGTCAGGGATGGTTCAGCCAGGGGCAGGGGGGGCTTTGTCAAGGGTACTGACATCATAGCAGTGCCCTCTCCACCTGAGACAAGTGTGAAATATTCTCTGGCCACCTTTGGAATTTCAAGTGTGAAATAATCTCCAGCTATCCCTGGTATTTCAAGAGTGATTTACAGATCTGAAGTGGGGTCACAGTGCAGCCAGCCCCAGTACAAGTTCTCCTGGAATCTTCTTTAAGCAAAATTTTCCACAGAAAATCTGGTTTTTATAATATCAAATACAATTTTATGGAAACAAATTAAAAAATAATTAGTTAATTTCAAATATTCTCTTCCTGCCTCTTTTTCTTGATTTCTGCTTCCCCAACTTTGTTCAGTTTGAAGAATCATTTTTTTTCTCTCATTCAGTAGTTTAATACTTTGTATCCCTCTGCCTGGAAGACCTTTACAACAGTTCTAGCTTTGGAGCTTCAGTCACGCAGGCATTAAACAAATGGCAATGGTAGAGCTTATCCTGTTCAGCTGTAAATCTTTAATCTGACTTTAGAGAGCAAGTGCTACACATGGTACAACGTGGAACTGGGACAGTTCATGATGCCCAGAAAGGAGTGAGCAGGTTATTCCCATGGGCACATGGGAATACATGGGAAAACATTGTTTGGTTCCTGTGGTCCTGTTATAGAGATGTGTGTGCACACAACAAAACCCCACCTTCTCCTGCACACAATCCACGTGTCATTAAGCCAGTGCACAGTGTTAGGCTCAGATGGGACAGCATTTCCATATGGAACATTTTAGTATTTCATGTCAGGGACTTTTTTTTTCCTAAAAAATTCATTTTTAGGAGGTGTTGGTTGTTAAAAAGGCACACCACACAGAGATGTTGAGATGCTTGGTTAAGTAGGTTTACTGTAGTCTAAGGTAAAGCAAGGGATCGGTTCAAATGGTGGTAAAGTATTGTGCAGTTTTAATTTTAACTTCAGATGGTAAAATGAAGGTTACCAGTTTCAGGAGACATGAGCATCTGGTTTGTTTTTAATTATCAAAGCAGTTGAAAGAAATATGACAAGTATTCATTAATTTAGTTCAGCATAATTACTCAGTGTTGGGTTAAAACTTCTGTTCCTGTGGCTTCTGGAGCTGCGTGTTGCAATCTGCATAATTTCATTAATATGGTATCCTAGCAAGCATGTTTCCTATTTTGCTCCCATGGGTGAGATTTAGAGGTATGATGGAGCACTGTTTTGACTTCTCACAGGATGAGCTGGATGAACTTCGGGCTGAGATGGAAGAAATGCGTGACAGCTACTTAGAGGAAGATGTTTACCAGCTGCAGGAGCTCCGGCGAGAGCTGGACCGGGCAAACAAGAATTGCCGCATTCTGCAATATCGTCTCAGGAAAGCAGAACAGAAAAGCTTGAAAGTTGCACAAACAGGCCATGTGGATGGAGAGCTCATTAGGAGCCTGGAACAAGATTTAAAGGTGGGTTGAGAGATTCATATTCACAGCAAAAGAGAGCAGACTGTGATGTGGCTGTCTGCAATGGAAGTGAGGGTTACACATGAAACAAGCAGTAGTTCTCCAAACATCACAACCAATTTCCTTCTGCTGTGGTGGAGAGCAAGTATTCAGCTCATCGCCATAAAAAGATGTGTCAGTGAGTAAAAAAAACATGTGTTCAGATTCAAAATGAAAGAAATACAGTCAGGTTACATTTCTGCATTTGAAAGATTTAAAGGGTCTTGATTTACTGGTTTTACTGAAAACCTTAGCTTTGCAATACTGTGTAAACAAAACCTGATATGCTTTTTCCAGTTCATGCTGTTTCCTTCCTTTTCACTTCTTGCTTATGCAAAGTAACTGGAAAAAATAGTCTAAGTTGCATTTCTTGGTGTCTAGTGAGTTACTTGTAACAGGAACAGAGTGTTATAATATTTTTGCAGGGCAGATAGAGAATCAAAATGCTCATTCCCTACAAACACAAATACCTGTCAAAATTATATTCATACTGAAAAAGTTTTTGTATCTTTCAGAAATGCTTCCATCAAGACCAAGTAAAGCTTTGTGTAGACATGATGCTTATCTAGCTTTACTCATCTTTCTTGATATTGCTATCTTGCAGCTGTCTTTAAAATATCTTCTGTAGAGAGGACTGCTTGCAACTAGAATTATTAAGAATATTGTACTTATAAGTGCAAAACATAAAACCTTCTGAAACCAGAATGATTTGTTGTCAGCAGTGGAAATGAGAGTAACATATCAAGTCATCAAACCTTTTAAAATGTCAGATCTCATTTTTTCTTTTATGATGGAAACCAAATTATAACCTTATAACAATAGCAATGATACATTACTCAGTAAAAATTTTGTACCTAGATTTCAATGAAAGAGATATTGAGTGTTTTTATTACTGGCTTCTTGTAATTCCATAATTCCTTGTGTTGTATGATGTATCACCTTTATAAATGTTTTTGGAGTAAATATCTATTCTTTTTAGGCTGGACTCAGAAAACCTGAGCTAGCATATATTTCTGTGCTTTCGTATCACTCTTGCCTAGTTGTGATTGCTGCTAGAGCAGCCAGTTTGTGTGGCTGTGACTGCTGCTCACACTGCTTTGATGGATGGCCCGTCAGCTTTACAGCAAAATTCCTTGTCTTTGGCTTTATCTGTGTGATGTGCTGGGACTTTGATGGGCGGCTTTGGTACCTGCTTGTTTCCTCCTGCTGTTCATGACACTGCCTTAGCATAATGTGGAGAGGGAGCTGGAGATGGGTAATCAAATATATTTTAATTCTGGATTCCTTTATTAGCTATGAATATTCATTTTGGCACTTGGAAGGCTTGGAGTGTTCCATCAACAGTGTCATAATTGAATTAAAAATCTCTTGGCTGTCTAGGGCTGTCATGTGCTTCTTACTGTAGGAGACATACCATAGCTGTTGCTCCTCATGGATGATCTTCATGCATTTGTGCTCTTTTGACCAGGTAGCCAAAGATGTTTCTGTCAGACTGCACCATGAGCTGGAGAGTGTGGAGGAGAAACGAGTTAAAGCAGAAGATGAAAATGAAGTCCTTCGGCAGCAAATCATTGAGGTGGAAGTATCCAAGCAGACGCTGCAAAATGAGCTGGACAAGTTAAAAGAGGTAAGCAATTGTCAGAAAAACCATGCAGAGCATTGGGTTAGAATGGAAATTTGGCACAGAGATGTCTTAGACTAATTCTTACATGAAGTGCTTGCTGATATTGCTTGTACAATTGCCCTAAAGGTCTCCTTTGTTATATGTCCCAGATACATCATTGGTAATTTAGAATCAGCAGAGATGTAGATGAGTGATGCTCCACTTCTTGTCTGGGGCTTCTCACAGGGCTTCTGTCCCATTTTAAGCTATCTCCTCAAGAACTCTCTTCCTGCTGGAGCAAAACTCTTTCTGATTTGACTCCAGCTAGCTCTGGCTGTTCTTTACACAGACTGGGACTTCCACCTACTTGAAAGTCAAATGAACTGTGCATGACTTGTCTCTGAGAGCAGGGCTCAGATAGGCAAGCCGCTGTTCTGGCTGGTACTCCTCAGTGATGGTGGTGGTGGAGCCATCAGCATGAGCTGGGCAGCCAGAATGTGGTCTGTAATGTATAAATAACATTGCACTTCAGGCACAGAAATGCTGTCTCTTGAGAAAAGGGATCATTTCAACTGGTGCTGACACACAATCACACTGGGTGAAGTGATGATCCTTGGAAGCAAGTGAGCTGAGGAGCAGGGGACTGTAAAGGGAAGCCAAATACTAAGCACAGCTCCTTGCTGGAGCCTACATCCCAATCTGTAGTGGTATTTCTGTTCCCTTAACACTGCAGCAGATTGGCAGTTCACAGCCCCTGCTCTGTTTTAAACCAGATTGAGATAGAGCCTTTAAAAGTAATGAGGTAAGACATTTATCCGCTGAGCCCTGGTCAGATTTAGAGAGCTGGTGCAATTATGTGTTATTTTAATCTTTCCAACATTACTTGTGAGTCAACTGGCACAAAGCCTGGCTCAGTTTTATAAGGACAGTCCCTATTTAATTTCTCTGTGCGTTGGAGTTATGAGTAGTCCAGTGCAGGAGTTTTGGAGTGTTTGTACCTAACAGAGCAGATCATCAGCTGGTACACATATCAGTGTTGCTTAGATTACTTGTGAACCTGGCCCAAAAGATAAAGTCTGCATTATGTTTTAGCTATTTTTCTCCTTCCTCAATGTTATTTGTGAATGCTGTGCTAAGTGGACATGATACCATGTTACAGGGTCTGCAGTCTCTGCTCTGTTAAAAAATGCCATCTCATCAACAGTACCTAATTTATTGCTTGTTGTTGATTAACATGCAGGTCCACTGGGTACTGTTTGATGGCCTTGGGGTTCAAGCAGAAACTAAATTGTGGGTGAGAAGTGAGGGAAAAAATGGTCCAGCAGTGCTGAAGGCTTTAACCAGGCTGAATTTACCTTGCTGCTTAGATTGCAGCAGCCTAGGTGTGCTGGGAAGCGCTGCAAAGTCAGCTGTCTCTCTGCTGGATTGCAAGATGAGGTGAATGCACCCTTACTTTGTATGCATTCCTTGCCAGTAAGAGGCAAAAGCTAGAGGGGAGGTAGGGAAAGGGAGAGATAGCAGGTAGAATGATGGGATGTATTCATGCTGATGTGGAGATAAAGCAGGTCATAAGAGGGATCATGAGATGTAGTTGTAGTAGTAGTAGTAGAGATAGTCTGGTTTCACATGCCATGAGTTGTGGTTTCTCTGGAAGTCACAATTTCACAAGGTCACTGGAGGTGAGAAGATGAGGTTGGAGTCCTTTGCAGGTCACACAAGGACAGATGAGCCAAAAGCTGGAGAAACACAGCTACGCATGTGTCACATAAGTGTGTTTGCAGTGTTGTTGACATTGCTAAAAAAAAAATTATTCACTCAAGATGTGTTCAAATAACTACCACAAGCGGTGCCTCCTTAGGAACATTTAATGTGTGCAAGGAATGTATTATAGGTGTGCCAGTGGAAAGCTAGCTTTATATATCAGGACAAAAGTGACCCCAAAGCCATGTAGCTTCTCCCCAATCCACCCTGACTCTGCATCTTGTCTATCTAAGGGCTGACAGTTACAGGGAGCGTTTTCCTCTCTGGTCCTGGAGCATTGCCTGAGACCCAGTTAGACAGTATTCATTCTCTGATGTAGCTTCCTGCAACCATATGCTCATTCTCTGCAATATCTTTGACTGTTCTCTATCATTGTATCAACAGAAAGGCTTTCTCCCATCTATGTTCATATTTATTGCTTAATTCAGTGCTCACTTCTGCTTTGGCGTGCCGTGCAATTCCCTTGGCTCCCATTTCTCACTGCAGTAGATGGCATATATAGTTGATTATCTTTAATGTATTTTGCATGCTGAAATACCTTTAGGAATTGTACATGTCTCTGAAAGCGCTCTTTCTTTAAAGCCACCTTTGGTGTTTATCATAATCTTTTGAAGAATTTCTAACATTTATCATGTTTAGTGCTCTTTTTTTGGGTTTTTTTCACCAATACCTGTTTTGATTACCTGTGATATTTTCAACAGGACTTCTTGGGTATATAGGCTTGTTCTATCTAAATAAAATTTTTATTTCCTTTAAGAAAGAAGCCTTACCGTTTTAACTGGAAAATGGAAATTTTTTTTGCCTCCTACTGACCATGTAATTTCAAGTTGTTTTATTAAATGCATACAAGAGAGACTTTCCTCTCTTGTCACTAAATAATATTTCTCAATGCATCTTACTGTGAAAATAATCCTCTCCTCTCCTCTCCTCTCCTCTCCTCTCCTCTCCTCTCCTCTCCTCTCCTCTCCTCTCCTCTCCTCTCCTCTCCTCTCCTCTCCTCTCCTCTCCTCTCCTCTCCTCTCCTCTCCTCTCCTCTCCTCTCCTCTCCTCTCCTCTCCTCTCCTCTCCTCTCCTCTCCTCTCCTCTCCTCTCCTCTCCTCTCCTCTCCTCTCCTCTCCTCTCCTCTCCTCTCCTCTCCTCTCCTCTCCTCTCCTCTCCTCTCCTCTCTCCCTGTGAATTGCTGCTTATGCACTTCCCTCCCAGTCCCAGGTGCTTCTGGATTCCCATTCCATGACACACTTTCAGAAGCTTTTTCATAATCTATCAAAACAGCATCTAGGCCCTTGTTCTGTTCTAGTATTCGCCAAATGCTCGCCATCAAAAAAAAATATTCTGATTTTCACTTATTGTTTCATTAAGGAGCTGTCAGATAACTGGTGAGTCACTTGCAGGTTTTTAGGATGCCACCTCCTTCTTTCCCTTTTTCTTTTTTTCATAAATGTGCTCCATCCAGCCAGCCTTTTGCTGCATTTCCTGTGTTATGAGCTAAGATATGAGTTGATAAGGATATTTAATGGATGCTTGTGAATTTTGTCCAATTCTGATGTCTTCCAGTTAGACATCATTCTTCTCTGAATGTCTTCATCAGTATCCTGGCATTCACTTTGCTTACTCATGCCACTTCCTTTTTTGCTTTCAGTTCTCTTAGCCAAAAGATAATATAGTTCTTTCCTTTCCCATAGCACTTTCAAAATTTTTCAGATTTTACTCATTTATCACTGTTCATCATCTGCTACTTTTCCCTGAAATACTGTCACTGATTCTTTTGAAGATACTTCTTTCACTGGCTAATAATGTTTTCTCACTGAATGCTTTTTAACTTCACTGACTGCAGCAAGGTTTTTTGTGTGTCAGTCTTCTCTATCTGCTGAAGCACTGTGGTTCATTGATTTTTTCCATGATTACACTCACCTACTTTTTCAGTTTTCATTTTTCAAATCTTCCCTTTCTGTCCTTTTTACTATGAACATTTCCACTGGTTTTGCACCACCCTCTGATACCTTTTTCTGTGGCATTCTCCATGAGAGCTGCAGAGTTTTCCTACTGCTGTGAACACTTCTTTGTAGCATATCCTGGGATGTTTGTGAGAACTGCCCCTTCTAGGAATTTGCTAGGATTTTCTGTGACTTAACAAAGCTGCTTCCTCCTTACAGCTCTGGAAGCAAAGGCAGTGTGCCCTCACATATTTGATAAGAAAACACATATCCCTGCCAAGGCTTGCTTGCTTTTTCCTCATGTTGTCTGGGTTATTAACATTGCCATTTGAGTCAGCAGGCTGCCAGGACAGAAAAAAAATGACTCCATCACTAACAAATTACCTCAGCAACATCCCTGCAGCTGTCATTTCTCTCTTCCTAATATCCTAATGCACCTCATGAGAAATATCGATGTGTATTAAGAATTTTTCTCAATCAATCAACCAGAAGGCATTCAGAACACTCTTTTTCCAAAGTTTCCTTTCCTTTGCAGCAGTGCAAAGCCCTTACCAATTCTCTTCTGAGCATCTACAAATCAGAACTTTTCTCAAAGGCTTGACAATAGCAAGCAGATTTTCTTTGAGAACTCAACATCTCTACTTGACATCTAATTCACCCCAAACTTCATTTCTTTGGAGCCACCAGGGCATCTTTAGGGAACTTCTTCCTTATACTTTCTCAGGAAAGATACTTCACAAAAGGATGATCTATGTCTAGTCTAAGTGTAAACAACTAGGAAATCATGCTTGGCAAGTGTTGGGTGCCTTTATATTCAGTGATCATTAATTCCCCCGCCAGCAGTAGAGTAATCCTGTCTCTGAAAGCTCCCTACCTGGGGAAGAACAAACCATTTCTGCTACTTATTGAAGAAAAGCACTGAGATGGCAGAGGACCAGCTCCTGTTCCCCTGAGGAGAACAAGTTGGTTGCTTGTTTGCAGCTGCTAAATGTGTATTTTCCCATGTCCTTTGTCTGGGTTTGGCGTGATGAGCCAGGGTGGAGAACAAGGCAGGGCTGTGGCAGCACTGATACTGCTGGGGATGGGCAGCCCTGTCAGAGCAGACAATGGGAGGGGAGGAATAAGGTCAGGGGCAGCAGCTGCTGGAAGATTTAGTGTGAGTACTGTGAAATGGGTTAGCAAGAAGTGAATGAGAATTGTGTAACTGGGAAGAACGGGGTGTACTGGAGAGAAATTTACTGGTTGTGCCTTGGCCGTACTGAGCAGGTGACAGTCTTTCTTATGGCCACTGAAAGCAGAAGGACCAGAGGGGCAGCAACCAGAGGTGTT